TTTCTTTCTTTCTTCCTTCCTTCCTTCCTTCCTTCCTTCCTTCCTTCCTTCCTTCCTTCCTTCCTTCCTCCCTCCCTCCCTCCCTTCCTCCCTCCCTCCCTTTCTTCCTTTCTTTCTTTCTTTCTCTCTCTTTCTTTTTCTTTTTCTTTCTTTCCATCTTTCCTTCTTCCCATCTTTCCTTTCCATCTTTGCTTCTTTCTTTTTCTTTCTGTAGCACATTATGTATGCTATCAAACACAAGTAACTTTTCATTCTAAAAATGGATCTGAGATTGGCCATTTCATTACAAGTTCCGTGTTTTTTGTTCAACACTTGGCAAGATGACTTGCAAAAACGTCTCATCTCATGAACTGTGGTACAATAGATTTTCCATTTGTCAGAAGGTAGAAGTCACTTGTTCTACACAGTAGTGAGCCATGCCACACCTGTCCTGCTGAATGCCTTTTTGATGACAGGTTAGTATGCCCACCAACTCTGTCCTTGGAGAAGTTTGATCATTAAGTTTCTGTGGATTCCACCAAGGCAGTCATCCAGTAGCATCCCTTAGGTAGCTCGTGAGTGTAGATGGATACAGCACTCCTGATATGTAAGAATCCCCACATAGGTTTTCTCACCAACTGTCACATCCTAAAGACAGCCAGACACTAAGCTGCTGAGAGGCTGAGCTGGACTATAGAAGTGGGAGGGTTGGGACCTCATCTCCCACACCAGAGCAGTCATAACCACATGAAAAGGCAGCAAGAATAGGTTTGCAACATTTGACCACTTCACGGCCCTGGATATATGTATATATGTATATGTGCATGGACTGTGTTTCCAGGACACCTTTCAGCCACGCAGATCCACAGTCGAGTTCAAGTACTTAACAAGCAGATGTCTAGTACAGGTCTTGTGTATGTGTGTGGGTTTTTTTCCCCTTTGAGGTTGCTTTGTTTTGTCTTACAAAGGTGAAATCTGTTGGCAAGTGAAGTGAGAAGTTCATCGTTGGACATTTTTTCTGTTTAGGAGCTATGCCCTTTCAGGGAGCAGGTCTGGAGGACTTGCTTACCTGACGTATCCTCGTTCTCAGTGTTGTCTAGTCAGAGTGTGTTTCTGTGAGCTGTCATTGTGAGGAAGCAATCGTTTTTGTCATCTATCTGGTTGTGAACTAGTAACTTGTTTGGGAAGTCCTACTGATGTTCCTTATGGGGAGAAAGTTCCTGCTGGTTTTCCCAACTGTGCTTTGGCAATGCATGGTATCTAAGTCAGTTGGAACGTGGGCTTTGCTGTCTGTTTGAATTTAGGGTCATTTAAGAAAGGGGCAGTTAAAAGCACAATGCCTCACATGGGACAAAGTTCCAAAATGCCAAATTCTCCTATTTTTTACAGAACTCTAGAGTTATATAAAATAACTAGTACTGGGGGTTAGGGAGAAGGTGGCTCAATTGGACAGATCTCTCCACCTTCACACAGAACTTGTCACCATGAGATAGCATTGGCTGCCCAGGATGCTGCTATTTAAGAAAATAAAAGCAAAACAAAATTAAAAAAAAAAAACCCTCATTTATATGTGTGTATTTTTTAAAGCTACACTCTGTTAAATGTTTTTACAAATCTGTTTATATGACATTGATAAAATAAAGTTGGTCTTTTGACGAGAGGGAGGAGGATGTCATGGTCAGTTGTAATTTTGCCTTTACAAGGTAACTGGGGTGGGGGAGGGAGTGTGCCTCCTTGACATTTTGTTCAAGTTATAGATTCAGTGAAGCTATGTACTGTCTTAAGTTGCTTAATGCATTGTATTAGGTCCTCAAACAGAATAAAGGTTGTTTTGAAACTTAAGTTTCCATTTGAAATTTTAGTTTTCATCGGAGACATTTCTAAACTTCCACCAGCTTATTTGTTTCAATATCCCAACTCCGGTTTATAAAAACAAAAAGGTACAGATTGGTCACTTGGATGTGCTCAATATTATTTATGTAGCATCTGAATGCTTTAATGGTAATATATATATATATATATATATATATATATATATATATATATATATATATATTTCTA